TCAGGACATTACATATATTCAAAACGATCAATAAATATTATATATAGTAATTATTTTTCTGTTTCCTTCTGCTACGTGTATGCTGTGTCACTCCTTCCTGGTTTAAGCAAAAGAGAAGAGGAGGAGACTTTTTTTTATTTAAAGCTTATTTTCATGATTATGTATTTTTGATATTAGTTTAGTTTGGTTTTTTTTTAATCATACCTGTGCCTGGTAAACTACTGCAGTGGGTATGTAGTGAGGTCACTCGGCTGCTACTGAGCTCCGAGGTAGCTTTTTTTTTAAAGATAAACTGAGAAAGACGGATTATTTCAGAGGATGCGACCGTACCTGGCAACCCGGGGGACGCAATCTGTGTCAATTGCCGGGCGACGTAGCGCGAATAAAGGCCGTAGCCTATTTCTGACTGTGGCTTATTTTTAACCGGCGAGGCCGCCTTTAGCCCCGTTTGTCTGCGTGACGGGTTGATAATTTATCCTCTAGCTTGCCTGTTGCTCGTTTCCATTTGTGTTGTGTCGTTTTTCGGGTTTTTTCTTTGTCTTTCTGTGTTTTTGCGCTGTGATGATGACAGGTGTCAGAGGTAAAGATTCCTCAGGATGACGCCTTTCTCCGCGATCGCTCCGCGTAAAAGGTGCATCGGGGAGCTTTCTTCCTTTGTTTTGCTGCTCTTTATTCAGTAGATACCCGGCGACCCTCCCGCTGAAAAACAAACCGGCGCAGTATGAGGACAGTCCCACCCCCCCTCTTGTGAAAATCGTAATTATTAATATGGATGCATTAATTAATCCCGGGGGCGAGGTAATTGGCTGAGGGGCTCATTTCGCTGATTTGTTGCGATGTCGTGTTTTCGCTTGTAGTGAACGGCTCGTCGTCCGCGTTCAGTAGGCTACCGTGGGGGGCAGGGGGGAGATTACGAGGCAGCGGAGGAGGATCTGTCTGTGTGGCAGATAAAGATGGTGTTCAGGAGTGAGGAGATGTGCTTGGCGCAATTGTTTCTGCAGTCCGGCTCTGAATATGACTGCATTAGTGAGCTCGGAGAGCTGGGGCTGGTCGAGTTCCGAGATGTAAGTAGACAAAACACTTCACTGCGTGAATGGAAGATGTGTGTCACCAGTTTAAAGAGTATTTGCATTTTGTCAACCGATTTAATTGATTATGCATGCATATTTAAGGGAGGGGAGCAAGACGGGGCATCTATCTAGATGATATACAGTGTCTATACCTGGCCAGCAAGAGGAGGATAGAGTTTTAATAATATAAAAAAAACACATCACTTTGCTGAACCTCACCATGATGTTAGTATGCATCATGCAGTAATCTGCATCCGTCTGACTTGTGATGCTCCTCTTGTTTCAGCTCAACCCGAGTGTCAGCTCATTCCAGCGGCGCTTCGTCAGCGAAATCAAGAGATGCGAGGAGATGGAGAGGATTCTGGGTAAGAACGGAGAGCACCTGGGATGCGTGCTCCAAACCCTGAGCACGCACCTGTACAGTTAATTTACTCGGGTAGCAAGAAAGTCGTGGTTGACTGTGCTTTGTAAAAAGTTTGCCCTCAGAGATTTAGGCTTCACCGCTTCCTCTGATGGCTAAGTAGTAATTAATATGAAAAACAAACAATCAGCAAATCTGTGTGCACAGGCTACCTCCTGAGGGAGATCCAGAAGGCTAAAATAGCCATTCCACAGGAGGATGAGAGTCCACTTGCTCCACCCCCAAGACAGGTCCTGGAGATCATGGTGAGTATATGCCAATATATTGGGAAGTGGGGGTAATGCAGGATTTACATTCATTTTAATACCCTACTCAGTGATTTTCCAGAACTCGACCCTCTAGTGCCATTTAGACATTTGTTTTTTTAATCAGAGGCTTTGATTGGCTTGTAACTTTCTGCCTCTAAACGCTACATTGTGATGTTTTGTTGTGAACAGTGGCTAACAGAGCTGCAGAAAACTTGAGGTGATGATGAAAATAGCTCAGGTGACGGTGAGGAGCCAGAATTCCTCTTGTTTTTTGATTGAAAACTATTATTAATTAATTACACTGGAATACCTGTTGTATATAAAGGAAACTGTATAGGTATGACAAGCACATATAGAGTCATGGACAAACAGTATTCCTGTATCTTCTTACTATAATATCTATTCTCTAACTCCTCGTAGATGCCCTAATCAACCTGGATGAGACTTGCTATATAAACTAGCTAGAGTAACAGGATTATCAAGCTCTAAATAGCATTTAGAACAAATTATAAATGATAAAACAAACAGTGATGTTACCTGTACGTTGTTGTTTGTAAATACATTTTTCTAAACAATTTTTAGTTTAGTGATTGCAATGTGTGACACTAAAAGTATCTGGAAGTAATTACTTTCTCTCATACGATGAAAACTGAGCTTGTAAAAAAAGAAAAATAATTATGTACTTATTGTTCATTTTTTTCTATCTTACTGTATGCATTGATATGATGAAGATAAAATTAACACACATGCCTATGGGGTTTTTTTTGTATGTGATCCAGAGCTTCAGGCCAGGCATGAACTACTCATAGGATTATCACAAATGACCCCATTGGCCCATTTTAGTCTCATGAGAGGGTTAAAGAAATAAAACATTCACATCTCTGTTTAAAAGCAATTTGTTTTTTCTCGTCGCTTATCAATTGCTGGATAAACGATTTGTTCATCTCATCATGATGTAGATATATTTCAGACATATTTAAGCTAGTCTATAAAGTTTGTCTGCACCGCACGAGTTTGTCTCAGCGATCCCACCAATAGAAGTGAATAGAATTCACTTCTTGAACTTAACTGCAGCTGATGACAAACGTGTTTTCATTTATTTTCAGCCTGTAGCCCATTATGACATCGTTTGTTGTTGGGTTTTGTGTTATACATAACTCAAGTGAAGGTTGCGTCTGCATACACGGCGGCGAAATGGTAGAAAATTGGTCCCAATATTCCAGTTTAGGCTCTCCATTTACCAAAACCAGTTAAAATGTTATTTCTTGTTTTTAATAGTCTCAGTGGTTTAAACTTTTGAAACCCTACAATCCTGCCAGAGCACAGAGGTGTACGAGCCAGCTCCTCTTAGAGCCAGGCTTTGAAAGCAGAGGCGATCGAGTCTTTTCAGTGTTGGCACAACCTGCCTTTTTGCAGTGAGCTGCCCAGTTTCTCAGTCATTTTAAAACGCTTTTGAAAACCTACTTTTCTCATTTTCCTTTCGGGTCCAGTCGAGCAGAGTACCCTTTCTTTTATTATGCAAATGCAGTCTTAGAAATAAACTTTGACTTGAATCTGCTGGTTCACCAAGTTAACTGAACAGTTTTTCAGCTGATGAACTGAGACCTAAAGGCTCACTCACCCAAAAAGCAAATATTCTCCACATAGATAAACTAGAAACTAGGTAGCATTGGCTTTGTGGTGCACAACGTGACAAAAATGATCATAATATTTTTTAAAAAGCAGCAATGTGCCATTTCACAAATCATGACCCGGTTACTCGGAAATCCACAAGGGTTGTGAGCAGTTTCATGTGAGAACTGCTTCTTTTGCTACTAAAATGCTGTCAAGGCT